GCCAGGTGCTGACACCGTTCTGGCCCTGGTAGTCACCTTCATGCCTCCTGCCCCTGCCCCCAGCCCTTGCTCTGCCTCCAGGTGCAGGTGGACCTGGTCGAATAGCTCCTGGAAGGTGGCCTCAGTCACCCAGAATGAGTCCACCCAGTGCTCATTGTCCCAGGTGCTGTGGATGACGTGCAGCCACTGGCCAGGCAGGCCTACAGGCAGTGGGGCAGGAGCCCCAAGAGCTCACAGACAGTACCAGTGGCAGTGTCCATGAGAGTGTCATCAGCATCCCTGCTGGGGTCTGCATAGCAGCAGCATGGTGGCAGGGGGCTCAGATGCTGTGGTGAGCCTGGCCACATGGCCACACAGCACAGGGGGGCAAGCAGAGCTAAGAGTGATCTGGGCCAGGTGGTGGTTGCTGTGGCAGTGAAGCATGGCGAGCAGGATGGTGAACTGGTTCCCGGGGCACAGGTCATCACTCCTGTGGTCTGAGGGTGGTGTAGCCATTCCATGGTGGGCACAGGCTCTGGCACCTTCTCAGACCGAGCTCTGTCCCTTTGTCTTGACCCGTAGCCCCCTACCTCCCCCAGCCCTTCCAGTGCCCCTCACTCCTGACCTGTAGCCCTCTGCCCCCCCCAGCCCTGCTGATGCCCTTTGCTCCTGACCTACAACCCCCAGCCCCATCAGCCCTGCCAGTGCCCTTCACTCCTGACAGATTTGCAGAGAGCTGTTCCAGTGCACTGCAGCCTGCTTTGGGCCAGAAAAGCAGGTGGCCAGGGAGCAGGACACGGGATGGCTTTTAAAGAGGACCCCACCCACAGGCAGCTATAGCTGGAGCCTCCAGCCCCCCTGACTGCTGCAGGGGGGCAACACAGGGCCAGAGGAGGTCGGGAGCAAGCTACTGCCATAAACCACAAATCTGCTTCCAAATGGCCACTTGTATAGATGCCTGCTCAGGGTGGGTTCACTGCGCAGTACATTACTGCGGAGGAAACACATATAGCACTAATCGCATATGTAGATACTCCCATTATCTACTTAGTACAGTTGCCTTTAAATTGCCTTCTGAGGACAACAGAACTGTGTTTTTCCTGCATCCTACAAGGGGGATCTACAATGGTATATCTTCAAACCCCCAGTGGAGAGGAATATGCAAAGTTTAATTAAATAATATACCACCTACTACTTCTTCACTTGTGTTATAAATTTTGACTCTACCTCAAACTGTGGAAAAAGTCCATTTCTATCAATGCTAAAATAGTGGTAGGGGGAACAAAACAAAACAAAACAAAACAAAAAACAAAAAACAAAGAACAGAAGCTGGTATTTCTGATCCTTGTTTCTTTGGAACATGACAGGATAGCAGGCACTTGGACAGTTGCCTACAAAAGTGTTCATTCAAATGTAGCTTCTCCAGCCTCTTGGTCCTCAAATACAGGGCTACCTTTTTTAGGCTACACAGTTTTCAGTAACACAGGATCTTAAGGAAGCAATGGAGACCAAGTCTTCAACATAGACATCCCCAACCTAAATGGGTCCATTAAGAGTTTTCAAACAAAGAGCCTAAGATATGAGTTTCAAACCCTATTGAGATATGTCAGCGAAACCTGCGATTTTCAAAACAGCCAAAACCCAGCAGCTGAGGTCGAGAGGGAGCATCAGGATGGATGCTCAGGACTTCTGACATCCCCACCACATATAGGTAAGCTGACCTTCACCCTCCTCACCTTGAACATCTTGTTCTGAGTTAACATGTCTTGTGTGACTCCTTTTATGCTCTGGGAACAGCTGCCAGGTGTTACCTTTCATCTACCTTAACCTGAAATTTGTGCAAATTCCCAGTTTTGCAGATTCCAACAGAGCGGATCTCAGCGGAAGAGCATAACCATGGGCATGGCAGCCGGTTTCCGCCTGGCGTGGGTCTGGGCCGATGAAGCTTCAGAGAATGTACCCAACAGCCTTCATTTGTTTTGATACCCTTATTCCCTATGTGGTTTTATGCCAGCCAGGAATCCCGGAGAGAGGACTTCACAGTTGCACGAGCCCCATCTCATGGTACTAGCACACTCTAGCCAGGTGCCTTTTTTTATCTTATTCTTAGGTAGGCTGCAGTACTGCCAACCCCCAATGTTCAAGATTCAAGCATCAGCCCTCAATCATTGTCTTCATTTCAATTATTACATTTTTTCTATGTATTATAAGGTACATGCTGACATTATACTTGGATCAGTCTAAACCCTTAGGTGTACAGATGTTTTCAATGCATACATGAGGCTAAAAATGGTGCAATCAACCCAGATACAGATCACATCTGAGGTGCCCTAATTTGAGATCAGTTCAGGGTGGATCTGTTTATTGAATGTGTGTCCTGTTCTATAAGTGCTTCTGTTATCTGATTCCTTGCATTGTCATTTGAAATGTTGAAAAGCATTAAATATGTTCAATATGAAAATGTCCAAAGCAAGGAACAAAACAGCTTGTTCAACCTAAGACTTTAGTTTTCAAACCTGCCAGGCCCTGCTTCCCCATCCGTGTGCAGCTTATGTGTCATCTTAATGTAGGTGACTGCCGAACTGCCAGGGCTGATGGGGCGCATAGCCAGAGTGGCTGGGCAGGAGGTGCGCAGGGGCTTGCACAGAGAGCTGTATACTTGGCACGTTGTAGATGTCAGACCAATTAACTGTAAAGTGCTTTCTGTGGCCTCCATTTTTTTGGTAGTTTAGGATTCCCCCAGAAGTCCTTTTTTAACCCCCTGGGAGGCAGATGCTGCACTGTGATTTAAGCATCTCTTGTGGTTTTCAGATGATGATTCGAAGCACGTTAAAATCTACACATAAACAGATTCATCTGTAATCTGCTCAGTCAGCAGAGGCTCTAAGGTAGAGTCTGTGGTTAAGATTCAGACTCGCTTTAGCTAAGAGGATTGCTAGTCACTGCTCCCCACCCTGACCAACGATGTTTCAGAAAAAATCCTTTCCTTCTACCACTTTTAGGCACAGACCTAAGGCAAGCCTCATTGCCCTTCTACCCTGCCCAACTCCCCCATGATGCTTGAGCTCTTTGCATCTCACTCAAACCCCTGTTTTTCTGCTGTGTTTAAGGATATTTTAATAGCTTTGTCCCAGAGATGCAGGTTTGATGCATTCATGCAAGCATGTCACTGTAATATAAGAGTGTTCATGTGTGCTGCTGATGTGCTTGTGCATTGGGCACATGGGACTCATCCTGGGGGTTGAAAATGCCAGGCAGTCAGCCCTGTCCATAACAGTATTTGTGATATTCTTGTTTACCAGACTCCCAACCTTAATTTCACAAGGTCCTTGTGCATCACACTCTTCAATGTGCCATTTCCCAATACCCCTATGAGTACGGAAGGGGTGTTATTCCCCTTTTACAGGTAGGGAAGTGACACACATAGAGGCGGGGAAATTTGCTGAAGGGATCACACAGTATGTGAATGACACAGCAGTGACTTAAACCCCTGGACCATCCTGTCCCCTCCTTCCCTACCTGTCCTGGACCTTTGCTCTCTATCCCCCACTGGGTAGTCAGGGCCCTTCACGGCCTCTTCTGTTGTTTGTTTTAAAACTCCTGGGGCATCTAAAGATGGAAAAACAAGTCCTCTTTTGGCTGGCTGATCTGTGACTTTC